GTGATCTATGTATTCGGTAGATTTAGGACAGTCAGGCTGTGTTGTAGGTTTTTTAGTTTTACACCCACACTGGAAATCACCAGATTCAACACTATGCAATACCAAATTCATATAATGCATATAACCCGGTCTCTAGTGAGACCGGGTTATATGCAATTGCATATTCGCATATGCATTTGCATACTTTAGCCATTCGCAGAGGTAATAGCATATTTTACCTAAGATCTAGTTATGATGCATATTATCGGTACATTTACAATATTTTTCATTCACCCTGCGTTCTGAACTGCGGCCAAATTTAATATAATAACAGTCACAAAATATAAGAGCTTTTGAGTAATAATTGTGACTTTTTACTGCATTTCGGAACGCAGTCAGTAGCCGCGTGCGTGTTTTGTTTTGACAGTTACTATAATAAAATGAAAGAGACAAGAACGTCGGCCTACTACAAAGTCGTTCCACCTATTACGCATATAAATTATTAAATATTCAAATTTTAAATAATTTTAATGTCATATAATTTTACTTTACCTATTATCGCCTATCAAAAAATAATTTACTAATTTTATGCTGATTTTGAAATAAAAAAAAGAATACTTTTTCTATTTATTTTTTGGGTTTTCGAAAATTTCATTTAATATTGCATATCCTGCCAATTGTCGTGCATATTTGCATGCATATAACAAGCTATTTATGTTGCATATAATCCGATCTCTGCTGATCACTATCACTATTATTAATCTCTGACGATTTGCCTACACAAGTAAGCACATCGCTTACACGCATTTTTGAAGGACTCTCCCGTTTCTGAAATCGTCCAAACACGGTCGATTTCAGAATAATTTACGAGTGAATTTATTAATGCAGCATTATAATTATCATAAAGTAGTTCATATCACGCACGGTCGGACATTTCATGTAATATTTGGACTGGAACAGACCGACACAATTCAGATCAAAGTAGGTAACGTCGATGCAAATGTAGCTGCGGCACATTTCTTACATCTTTATTAGACGTAAGAGTAATATATACCTAGTGTAATATATATAGAATTAGCTGTACCCGCGACTTCGTCCGGGTGGAATTTAACTTTATTTTTCTAAAATATAAGTAGCCTAAGTAATTCCTTATCACAGCAGCTGCCTGCCTGCCAAAAGAAGTCCCGTTAAAATCGGTCTAGTCATTTCAGAGATAAGCCGGAACAAACAGACAGATAGACAGACAGACAAAAATTGTAAAAAATGTTATTTTGGTGTATGTATCGTATTTATGCTTGTAGTAAAAAAGAGTTATTTCAATACAAACAGACACTCCAATTTTATTTATATGTATAGATAGAATAAAATAGAAAATAATTAATTAATTTATTATTATAAGTTTACAATAATATATTATTAATATACAATAAGATTAAATCTGTCGTAGTGATAAGAGCAGACCAGTCCATACAAACAGCACCCGTTCACGAGTATGACTGGTATACGATTAGAAAACCAATGTAACACACGTGGAGTTGTGTTGTACGACAGTTGACAGCATCAATCATAGGTAATCTATTGTTGATAACGCTGTAAGGACGTATTATCAATTTGCTTCACTTATTTGGAACACTAGCAGAGTTACGTATATTTTATCAAACTAGGTGTTTTTTGCGGAAGTCCATTTTATTACTTAGTAGATTTATGTGACGAGCGTGCATGGCAATAGTTGTTCATGCACTGGATTTTCATTTCATGTTACACATAGACACCTATATAAATATACACTGTAAATAAACTGGCTTAAAAAAAAGTAATTCTATTGAGTTTCTTGTCAGTTCTTCTCAATTGGATCTATATTCTGGTACTGGTAGGGAAAAAATTATAATATAAAAAAACAGACGTTCATAAGCGGCTAAAATGTCCTACATACATGACTTTTAAAAGTTACTATTTTAATGTTTATCGTATTACTAGCTACTCGCCCCTGCTTCGCACGGGTGTACATATATAAATCATTATCAAATCAATCATGGGTAAATCATTACATAGTATAATATAAAGTCGCTGTCGCTGTCTCTCCGTCCCTACGTATGAATATCATATCAAATAATGAAGGAATTGTTCGAGTAGTGCGCGGACCGAACCCGCGACTATCGCAAGTAAGGTGGCGTATTACATCGCTGGACCACCGAAGTCATGGACAGAAAAACAATGAACAATAGACAACCCAGACGAAAATTAAAGCATGCATTCCATAGAGATAACTTCGTTACTTCACGTCTAGGTGTAATTGATAATTGTGATCTTTGAACTGTTGTATAAGTAATTAAGTATATTAAATTAAACAAATCAGCGGCAAGTTTACCAAACATGTCGCCTTGTAATCTTGTAATCAACAAAATTAAATGTCATTAAACAATTACTATAACAATTTGAAATTTAAATTAGCATCTGTTTAATTGATATGAAACGTGCACTTGAACTCATTTTAAACGTTTTATACAGTAATTAGAATGTATACAATTATATGAGTTTGCATTCCGAATGAGCGATCGAATCAAAAAACTTGGTAAGCAAAAGTGCTTATATTAAGTTTATTTGAATACAGATTATTTCTATATCTTTATACACTACTCGCAAAAATTGAGGGAACAGAATAAAATTCCAAATTTATTGGTGATTTTAGGCTCTATTTTAGTTACAGAAAATAAAAAAAAAAGCTTCAAAGGTTATTTTTTTTAAGCTTTAAATTCTAGTTTCAGTATTTTTGGGTAAAATTTTTAAGACCTCCTGTTCTCATGCAATCTTGAGATGAAGATGATATTTTTTTTTTATTTTTTACATTTTAAATTTTGAGCTATGAGTCGCATAGCCTGTTTATTCGGCTTCAAGGTGCTTTTTTCAGGACCCCGATATGACCATTTCTCTCTGAGATATCGACTTTTAAATGCCAAGGATCATTTTTCATTCCACTACGGATCGCACCATGAATGGACATCGAATTTCATTATCTGTAGAAAACTTCCTTTAAAATACAGTTAAGAGTTAGGTGATGAAAAATTTTTTATCACCTCTAACATTTCATTGAAAAAAGTAAAAAACACCCTCTTCTCCGTTTTTGGTTAATTGGCTGTTTCTTCACTGATATGGACGGTAAAGTTAAGGTTGAAGTGAAACTCTACAGACAAATGTACCCCAAAGAGCCTCTTAAATTTTTAAATCGATCGGTTCAACGGTTTCTTTGGACCAATCGATGAAAATTTTCAAAATTAAAGGAACAAGGTTTTTGTCCCTTAACTTGACGTAATCTCTTAAAAAATAAAAAAATCGATTATTTCCGACAGTACACACACAGTCGTGTTTGTTAAAGACTAAATTAAAAAAAAATAATAAAAAAAATCCCCAATTCCCGTTTGAATTGGACGGGTGATCGATCGGAGGGGTATCGAAGTGAATATACGATAGATGCGTATGCGCAGTCCGACTGTACGTTACTTGCGTTTCTTACGTCACACCGCTGCCGTTGTACTGCGTGACTGAGCAACATTATTTCCAATTTCTCTACACTTTTAGTAGGTAGTGAGTTTGATATTTGAATGCATTATCGTGAAATAATTAATTAGATATCTAATATTATCAACAAAGTCCACATTATAATTTGGTCCTTAGACAAAGTGCGGTCGGTATTTTTTTTTATACCAAGCAGGCAGGTGTTTCAATAACAAAAAATATACTCATCAAAATTATCAAGCATTTCTTCATAATTGAAAGAATGAAAGAAAGAAAATTGTTTAAATGGTACACTGAAAATAATTTTTAAATTTTAATAATAATTGAAAGTGTTTGAACGCATAGGCACCTACTAAAGTCTCCTGGATTACTTGTTACGTATGTTAACAGTGTGTACTATCACCGGAGAGACCTTGAAATTAATAGACGAGTGTTGACCAAATGAACTCATTACATCTGAGAACGAATCTGTCAATTACGAGTACTGAGTTTGTCTGGTTGATAGTGAGAAATAATCAAGAACAATTGTCTATAGAGTAAAAATGAATGAAAATAATAGAGATGCTTTGTAGACGTTTATTATAGCAGAGCGCAGTGACAGAAGTGATACAAAACAAAATGTATAAAAAGAACTCTCATATTTTAAATATGGATAAACGAATATAAAAATTAATAATATTTTATTTACCTCTAATATACCTCTAATTTAATAAAAAGCGAGTGGATCACCGTTTTTTAATTACGATTATAATTATATTGATTTTTATAAATACGTTAAAATCAATAAAAATATGTTAAACTGACTTGCTTCTCAGAAAAATATATAAAAAAATAAAGAATGTCCACTATATAATTTTATTTGTCCCGGACAAAAAACTAAATTCCCGTATTTTTTTGCCGATTTAATAATAATAATAATAATTTTTATTTCAGACAACATGATCCATTGTGTTAGTAACAGCTTAATGACATAACTTATCCTATGTTAGTAATAAAACATATAATAAAATAAAAATGTAACTTTTACCTGTCCCCTGTCCCGCCCAGTGTCTTAGAATGGGACAGTCTACTTTACTATAATTGTCTTCAGGACACTGTTGGAACTCGCCCGCACTCTGCCTAATAGGGACGTTATTCGCTTCCGCCGTATAGCATAGAAATCGTCTGTGCGCTCTTGCGCAAACATATGTGACGCTGCAGTGGCGGGGCAGCCCCAACAGTGCCCGAAAGGCATTGTTATATTGAACGCGAAGAGCATTGTAGGTTTTTTGAGTATAGTTGACCCACAAGCCGCCAGTGTAGAAAACCTGACAAAATGCCTTAAAAAGTGTTATTTTGACTTGTTTTGTACACCGGGCAAACCTGCGTGCCAACATATTACTTCTAACTGCCAATGCTCTTCTTTCACGTTCTATGTCCATATCATCTTTTAATGTGGATGTAACAATATGTCCAAGATATTTATGCGTAGGCTGAAAAAAAAACTGGCAACTCTATTCAGTACTCACCCCAGAGTCCCGGGTCATCGAAGCACGAGTGATGGTTGGAGACCGTGAGTAGTGGTACTCCCTCAGGCCGGTACACGGCGCGCGTCAGGATCTCCTTATTGTACACAGTAGTCTTGTTCAGGAACTCTGCAACAATATACTCCACTCTATAATGATGTTCACACGAACTTACATCCGAAGGTGACAGGTTAAGAGAGAAGAAAAACATTTATTGTCAACCATTTTGACACATTTAACATACAAATTATATCTAACTATATATAACTCAAAGGTGACTGACATAGTGATCTATCAACGCACAGCCTAAACCACTGGACGGATCGGGCTGAAATTTGGCATACAGATAGATGATATGACGTTGTTATATTAAGGTTTCTTAAGGGTCGGCAACGCGCACGTGACCCCGGTGTTTCAGGCGTCCATAGGCTACGGTAACAGTTTACCATCAAATGGGCCGTATTGCTTGTTTACCACCTACGTGGTATAAAAAAAGCACATTTATTAATTATTTTATTAGTAATCCATCATGTGTTTATTATTATTTTGGAAATATTTGGGAGATAAAAATAGCATATCATGATTCACACGTGCTGATAACTTGCGATAACAGTTAATAATAACCATCACAGGAGGACTTTGTTTTGTATAATGCCATCTGCCTGGTGTCCATGTTTCTCTCTCTCTTTATGTTTAACATATCGCTGATTAAAAGCCAAAGGGCTACGTGACGCTACAGTAAATTTTACAGGAGAGCTCATCAACATTTTCACTGCGATATTTTTACTTTTTTTACGAATCTATGTATCTAGTGGTATATCTATGTGTTGGCTCTAGAATCATGGGTGTCTTTTTTTAATATAAAAATCATAACGATTTAGATACAATTTTTGGAAAAAAATAGTTTCATTCTTTTTGCATTGTGGCTCTGTGGCATTTAATCAGCGATATGAATAAAAACCCATTAAAATTGGTACAGTGTTGGCGAAGATATGGAGTACAAACATACTACAGGAACTGCAGAGTATTCAAAAATTCTAAAAATACAGCAAGAGATACAGTTATCAACAGATTAGGCAACATCTGGCATTAAATAAAGATTAACAGATAAATACAATCTTGGTCATTATCATTAATTTTGTATTTAAATTAGATTGACCACTTTAAAAGATAAATATTTTTTGAGAAAAACATGAAATCAGGTTGGTTAACACATCACCTATAGTTTTCAGAGAAGACAGCATGGGGGTAATTACATTACTAGGAAACAGACAAGTAGTTCCCACTACTAATAATAATATGTACATTAAAAAGGTAAATATAATTCTAACAATTAAAGTCCTGTCCATTTAGAAGAAGATCCCAAGAAACTAGGACTTATGACAAAAACCCTATCAGACAAAAGTAGAGATGTAGGATTAGAAATGACTCCAAATAAAACAAGGCTAATAATGACTAAGTCCACAGAAGGAAGCATAAAGGTTGACAGCTTGGATTATGTAAAAGACAATGTTTATCTAGGGAAAACTTTCTCCCCCATAAACTTAATATCCAAGGAAATAAACTATAGAATTGCAATAAGAGGGAAGAAATACTGTTTCATGAAAGAAATAATTGTGGGACACAGATAGCGGAGAGAGCTGGAGGAGGCCTACACCAAAAGGCACACCTAGTTGCAGCACATTTCAGAAAAAAGGGCTAGATTATTGTAATAATTAAAGTGAAGAAATATCCTAAGAGATGATAGTACTATAAAGATAATAATTGCAACATGCAGCAACTAGCAACCACTTTCATCACAACATAATGACAGTAATAGTTTCAATTAGAGACAATAGAATGAATTGTGTATTAACATCTAGTCCACACATATTATATGCTGGAGTAGGAGATTAGTTTTACAGTTTTTTTTTTAATATTTTAAGAAAGATGTTACAAATGAATGTGGATGGTTATAAGGGCAGAGGAAGGCCGAAAAAGAGACGGATGGACTGTGTGAAAGATGATATGGTAAGAAAGGAAGTAAATAACGCGATGACTGCGAACAGGGATGAATGGAAGCGAAAAACATATTACGCCGACCCCAAATAAATGGGATAAGGAAGAAGCAGATGATGATAGGAGGTTAGTTCTAGTGGTTGAGAGTAGTGCAAGAGAAATATCAATATGATAGTGGACATTAAACCAATAGCTTACATAATATCATAGTACAGTAATTATTGTGGAATGCTAGTAATGGTAAACCATAAACAATATGATATAGAGTGGTATCAAAGAGAACAAAAAAGAAGAGAAGGGTGGGTGGGTGGGTCAGAAGGGTGACAGAAAAAACAGAGGTGGGAGGATGATATAAGGGCAGTGGCTGGACCAACATGGTGAAGGAAGGCGTTGGACAGAGGAACCTGGAGTTTTCTGGAGGAGGCATGTCTTAGGACAAGCTGATGAACCTAGGCAGGGATGTAATAAACAAACAAAACCAACTATAACTTATCATCAGCACAAAGGCTATAAATAAAATAAATAAATAAACAATATAGCCCACATCTGTCATACTAGTAATTGGGAGGCATTTGTAGAGATAGATCTGCTTTGGTCATTATTGGTTGTATGGATTTAATTTTATTACTTATCTTTATATATAAAAATTATGTGTCACATTGTTTGTCCGCGATGGACTCCTAAACTACTGCACCAATTGCAAATTTAATATGCACATTGTGTGCAATTTGACCCAACTTGAAAGGTAGGATAGCTTAGTTCTCAATTTATAGTCGCAATATTATTTTATTCAAGAACCTTAGCCACAGTAACGCGTGGCTGGGTCTATTAGTTTAATGTATACATATATTTTAATAAACCTAAATTAGTTCAATTTTAGTGTTTTTCTAATGGGAACCTTATTAGAAATACACTAAAATCAACCTTCTCAACGGTATGTTCTGTTAATTCAAACAATCGGCAACAATTGTTTATAAATATATTATAAAATTTATAATTATATGTTATTTAATAATAATATTAACAAACAATACATATTCTAGTCAATACCATCAATCACTTCCTACACAATGGATGATCTGCTTGAACTTTACCTACTTCACTTGTGACACTACATATAATTGTACAACACCAAGTGTATACTTTCCATTATATTTTAACATAATACAAATTATATATTCATTCAAATTCAATATTTATTATGCTAAGAAATAATTCTATTTTTAATAATTGTAAAGATCTACTAATTTATATTTTGTATTTAGGTTTAAAAGATCCTAATTACAAAATAAATATTTGATTTGCTCTACATAAACAGATTACTATGTTCAGTACTGTGATCACACAGACAATATCAATGTATTAGTTTTCAAATATTAAATTATATGTATGTTAGTCTATAAGGTATTTATATGGGCATAGTAGCCTGACATAAATGAATAAATAAATAAAATAAATAAACATTACTGTCCTACTTCAATGAGTCAATACTGTGTATTGCATATAATATTGATATAGTTAGTTATACTGGGCATTATTACATTGGTTTATAGTTATATTTTAAAGTCATAAACAAAGGAAAACATACTTAAATATTTATTTCTTTTTATGCATTTTAAAACTATATATGAATAAAAGATAAACTGATTATTTTAGAGTACTCTTTATCAGATATCATTCGGGAATTCTATTCAGTTTTCTTTCTAATATGATCAGTAATACATAACGGTAGTGTATAAATTATATACGTATTGCGTGACAGTTTGGAACAAGGTGTTTAGTTATTTCGACGTCATAAAAACACGCTTACGATGCTGACGTCGTAATGTGTAGAGTGCACAGTCAGCTGGTTCGCATTTCGCTGATGCAGACAGGGGTTTGGTATACGTGTAATGGGCTTAGCTCTAGTTAATATAAACGACTGCTGACTCCCTCAATATAATGTCTACCCACTCACACCTTTGTACGGAAGACAAAGAGTTTAGATCAGATGGAAGATTATACGCACCTATGATAATCTTGCTAAATAATCCAACGACAGCCAATGTGATTGTACTAGCACAATTCCAAAGTCGTCCTGGATTCCGTAGCCTCGGAATTATCCATCCTATATCATATCCCATGGTAACACGCACTTAGATATACCTATTAGAACACTACAATAACATCATTACTGTGACAAACTTTAAATAAAAAATCAATTAATAGCAAACTTCTCTAGTCGATACGTTTAAAGTATTTGGCGAATTGCGAATGAATAAATCACTGAACAAAGCAAAGTGCCAAATACTATATTGAACGAATGAAATTGAAAATGACGTCTCGATTTGACAGTTGACAAACTATGAGTGTATGAATGTAAGTTACAAATAAATGAGTTTTAACCTTATGATAGACATAAAAAGAGTTGTATTTTTGTTTAGTTCATATTACAGAAAATGAATTCTCAAGTGAGATTGCCAACTTAGTATTTTTATCCTGCTCGTACTTTTGTGAAGTTGCAGAGGTAGAGAGGTATAATAATACGACTAGAAGTGTAATAATCTGAGTGAGTGTAATACTATTAATTATCAACAATCATTGTTTTGTTTTTGAACATGATTTTGGAGTTGTTAATTATATTAGTATTTCCTACTTTTTACTGTTGGAGTACAGGATACAACCAGTAAAAATCAGGGTAATCAGGCAAGTCGCTCAGAAATTTATATTGTACACATTATTTTTGACGTCCAGATTTAAATACGGTCTATCAACGTAAGTAGTGATAGTAAATCACTGGGTCACGATGCTGACTACGTATGTGGTAGTGCGCGTCAATAATAACAAGGCTAACTGATTGACCTTATGCTCACCTTATCATCCTCCACTGGTGCTCCGCCAGCGTAAACTGCCGGCGCATACGCGTGCACCATTCCATTATCAACATTAAAAAATATACAACTACATAAAAAATATCAAACATTAATAGAAGTGTTTGTATCGTCCAAGGAATGGAACCCGCGACCATTACAAGTAAAGCGGTGTGCTAAACCCCTAGGCCACCGAGAATTTATAATTTCCAGTCATTGTAGTAAGGTTGTAAGAACTACGATGTTAATAAGACATATATTTTATATATCGTACAAGGTCACGAGTAGGTCATCGGCCTTCATTAAGTAATTAAATAATGTTTTACCGCAATCTTATAGCATCTCCAGCAAACTTATGTACATATTTGTCACTAGCTGTACCTGCGACTTCGTCCGCGTGGAATTTAACTTTATTTTTCTAAAATAAAAGTAGCCTAAGTTACTTCTTATTACATCAGCTACCTGCCAATAAAGTTCCGTCAAAATCGGCCAGCCATTTCAGAGATTAGCCGGAACAAACAGATAGACATGCAGACAGACAAAATTGTAAAAATATATTATTTTGGTGTATGTACCGTATTTATATTCATATGCATGTAGTAAAAAACGGTTATTTCAATATTACAAACAGACACTCTAATTTTATTTATATGTATGTATAGATGTATAGATGATACCTACTCGTTCCTACCAACAGAAGGCATCTAGTTTGGGTTTTTGATGATTTTTCTGCATGACGTACTTACTATGGCGGAGCCTGACTCTAACAAAATAGTTCCTAAAACGCTTCACCATGGCCAGGGAGGGCATAAAAAGGCTGGCCATTTATTACTGGAGCCTCCGGAACGTGTAACTGTATGTTTTAAGACTACATCGTTCATTTTAAACTAAACTTACGCAATAAAAATAAGCTAATTTTACCTAAATGCCGTCTACACAAAGTTAGTAATTCATTTTATGGTAATTGCGTAAGATTCTATAATAAACTGCCAGAGTCTACGCTAAATCTTACAGAGAGGCAATTCAAATCTTATATTAAACAAATGTTATGTAAAAAAGCCTATTATAAGATAGATGAATTTATAGATGATAGCAATATAGCAAGAATAAGTTTATTTGCGGACAACGTTATAATTTTAATTAATAATATAACTGCTTTCTTGATATATGATAGCGTAGCGGCTTTTGTATTAATTGCCGCATGCATCCTTATGTAAAGTGCGAATACTGTAACTACCATATAGTAATTTTTGTAGCTGTGACGTGGTCGTGTGGAATGAGTAGTCATGCTCACTAAAATGTCCAGACATGTGGCGGCGTGGTGGGCCGGGTCAATGGGCTCCCTAAAATATGGTCGAGCGCAGTGATGGCTGGCTCATCCGTCATACTCGTGAACGAGTGCTGCTTGTAGGGACTGGTCTGCTCTTATCACCACGACTGATTTAATCTTATTGCATGATTATATTTGACCCAAAAAATTAGTGCTTGTTGGTAGTTTGTATTCACACGTTTCGACTTGTAAATGTAAACTTACAAGGATTATTTAAAAGAGCAACACACAAGTTTCTTGCTCGTTCTTCTTGTGATGAGACAGCTTTCCGAACGAGTGGTAGATAAAAAACAAATTGTTATGACTATTCAAAAGTGCTTAAATTAAGTTTATTTGAATAAATGATTTTCTATTCTATTCTATTCTATTCTAAATAAATTAGCTTTTAAAAAAAACTCAACCGAGTTTCTTGCCAGTTCTTCTCAATTGGATCTAAATACTGGACGGTAGGGAAACAATTAAAATTATAATGTAAAAAATTAGACGTTTATTAGCGGCTAAAATGTCCTACATGAATAAATGATTTTTGAATTTGAATTTACAATTAAAACTTGACGTTACAAAGACCTCTTCCCGGGGGTGCTCCCCCCCTCTGCCCCCCCCCCCCCCCCCCCCCCCCCCCCCTCATAACGTAACGTGTGAAATAAAGTTATCTGTGGTAATAATCCTTTAATCTGCGGCATGTATAGGTATTGGCTATATTTATAATTATAATCATATGTGATGACGTCATCAGCATATGCGGTCTGGAGTGTTTTAGATCTGGACAAGTTACACAGCCGCATCTCAAAATTCAAAATTCAAAAATCATTCATTCATGTTGGACGCTTTAGTCGCTTATGAACGTCAAGTTTTTACATTATAATTTTATTTTTTTACCTACCGTCCAGTTCGGTATATTGATCCAATTGAGAAGAACTGGCAAGAAACTCAATTGAATTACTTTTTTTTTTAAAGCCAGTTTATTTACAATGTGTAGGTATATAGGTGTCTATGTCTAACACTAAATTTCGTTTAATGTAAGCTGGAGCTAGTGCTTTAGATATTAAATAACTGATGGAATATTTAAAATTTTTTATTAATATAGTTTAACGGGTTTTAACTCGGCTGCAGTCAGCTCGTGCCACAGCTAGTGCAACCCAGTCTAAAAGTCAAGAGTCCTATTACGTCTTTATCTGTACTAATATTACAGAGGAAAGATTTGTATTTTTGTGTGTATGTATGTTTGTAATGAATAAACTCAAAAACTACTTTGCCAAGTTTAAAAAACTTTCACCATTAGTAAGCTACATTCACCTTGAATAACATAGGCTATATTTATTGCTAGAAAAGATTAGGGATCCTCACTAAAACTTTAGTAACGTAACTCAAGGCACTGATAACATAATATTACATACTCAAGGTAACAAAATGTTGTAAAATATCTTTCGTCGCGCGCGCTGCGGATACTATTGGTGATAGAACAAAATTATGTTCTACAATATTGAAGAAATTATCTATAAATATGATCAGATAAAAATGTAAAATATTGTAAAAATGTCTACCCGTGCGAAGTCGGGGACGGGCCACTAGTTTACCATATATTTATTCATGTTTAACTATTATAATAATATTATAATAATGTGTACTAAAGGCCAGTTTAAAAATAAGTATACATTTATTTGTAAGTCCATACATAATATAAGTTCTTAATGGCAAACTAAAATAAAAACATTTTGAGTCGACAATAGTAACAGTAAATGTTTAATTTCAAAGACAGCTCCTTGGTAGAAAGAAATCATAATTTCCAAGATGGCCGCTTGAACTGGTTGGTTACGGTTTAAAAATAATAAAAAAAACACTTGTATTTCTTGCTGCTAACAATTAGCGGCTCTTAAAACTTAAACATATGTTATTAAATAACCATTAACATTAACATTAATGGTACCTAATAAATATCTACATAATATTTACATATAAATTGCACGTAAATATTTAAGACAAATAAATAGGAACACTCGTAAAGGCAGTCTTATTTAAATTAAATTATTCTAAATTTCACTATACGGCTCCAATTCTGGAATTCAATCTTGCAATTTTGTATTGTTTTAAATCTTCAAGCATCGATTCCTTCATTGTATTAGCTCCTCATATGATTTGTGACAGATAAATTACAGCCAGGTAGCACTTCTTTTCAAATGAGATTTAAGTATTAAAGTTTCCGGAGTCGTTCCCCAACAAAAGAAACTCGAACACCTCTGGTTTGTCACACTGTTTGCCGGCGCACGGCGATTTCACAATGAAAATATTCCGATGGTCAGACACACTGTTTTTTTTTAAATTCACTTTAGAACTGGAAGCATCGTTGATGTCGAGTTGGTGTGGTGAAGCGACGGACATCGGTTGTGAGAACTGGTCTGCGTATTGCGAGGACTGTTGGTGAAGGTGCTGGGGCGCGGGCAGGCTGCTGGCCCAGCTCGCCCAGTGCAGCAGCAGCGCGCAGACAGTGAGGGCGTGGAGACGGGCCGCAACCATCGTCGCCAGCTGTCAGATGTGTAACTGGTTTTCCTGATATCTGTACTACATTTATATGTGGGTACGCCGTATTTCCCGCGTACAGCGCGTGCCAGATAAAGTGGTCACACAAATTTCCTTGTCGGATTTATTGTATCTCATTTTACAATTTCTAGATAAGTTTATAAACAGTAAACAGTAAACATTGATTGTAGTTCGCCTTGTGACAGTCCATTGAGTCTATGGAATGAGTAGCTTCCGAATTAACGCAATAACATTTTAAACTGTCTCATAACATGACAAGGTTGTCTATTTAATTGTATTTGTGTGTATGTTATGTGACATAATAGACTAACTTTTTTATAACTGAATATTAATGGGTATTACAAATATTAAGAATGTTAATAATAAAAAAAAATGGAACATATACACAGGCCAAAAGGATGTCGCCACAAAAGAAGCGGCAGATAATACTATGATATAAAAAAATTAAAAAAAAACTGTATAATGGTCTATAATTTAAGATACTCTTTCTGTGTACAAAGAGTATCTTAAATTATTATGTTCATAATATTAATAACAATA